TGTTTGGGGGCTAAAAGGAAACGATCGAGACTTGTACATATCAGTTTTTCAACTTGATATATAGGTATGCTTGGCCTATCTTCAGTTTGGCATATTTTTGCATCCCCCTGTTAATGTTAATATCATGAAAGTTTATATTTTTATAAAGTAGACATTCCAGGGTATTGTATATGGGGTGTTTTCACATCCTTCCCCCAACTATTGTGCTAAACAAATTTCAGAGAACGTGCTTTCGCACAGTTTGTAGAATTTTACGCCATACCTAGAGCACTTTGAGGGGATGTATTGTTTGAATCCCAATCTCCCTTTATATTTCATTAACGATTCAACAATAAATACATTTTGTTGGGGAGTATAAATGTGTGCTGAAGATGGTCTACCAGTGGGCGTATTTTATGAAGCCTATCATATTGGGTGTGATCTCTGGGGGTGACAGAGGGTATTGTCATTGAAATGTAAGTATCTCAGCAGCAGCTCATATCTTATTCTAGACATGATTTGGGAGTACACTGGACTAGAACAGATTGTGTTGATGCTCCAGTAAGAGCGGATTGATGGCTTCTTTATTATCCCCATGAACACTGTAAGAGCCCAGAATTTTTTAAGTTCAGGGACATCTGTGGGATGCCAAGCATGCTCCCTGACTGTATAGCTACCTGGATTGGTCTCAGTAAATTGGCTAGCATATAAATTAGTCTGGGAAACAATCTCCTCCCAGATGGTATCCCCTAAAAATAACTCCATATATTGTATATAGGAGAAGTCAACCACATTCACACTAATGCCTGCGTTGGCACTAAAAGGGGGGATGTTGGGCTCAGCTGACTGTGGAGGTACCCAGTCCTCCTCCACATTTGGCGTAGCAGGGGAAGCACAGCTTCTTTTAGCAGCTGGCTCACACACATATGACATGTCACTAGACGTGTCGCTAAACTGACCTGGGTCAAAATCAGACGCAGTGTCAGTGGCGTCAGAGTCTGACGCCAAGAAGGCATATGCGCTGCATGTTTCACACTAACAGACTAAACACAAAATTTTTTTTACTAAAACAGACTAAAACAGTAATCCCTAAACTAACTCCTGTTAAAAGAATCTAATGGAGATTTGGGGGAAGGAAACTGACAGACTAAGACAGTCTAAGATTTTTAAAATAACATTAACCCTTAAGGGCAAAAAAAATACAGACAGTACAAATGCACTGTCTGTAACAGATCTGGCAGGGAAAGGGTTAAAAGGGGATTTTTATTCACTGCTGATACTTTTTAAAACTCTCTGGAACACCTGCTGCAACAATATATCACGATCTCTGTCTCTCTCGCCTCACAAAATATTTAAGGACCAAGGCTTTTCTGAGATGCAATGTATCCTTTAAGGATCAAGGCCTTTTTGCCAAGCATTATTTTCTACCACAATTTCACCCTGTTTTAAAAGAGAACGAGATATCTCCTTTAAACATATGTTTAAAGGAGATATCTCGTTCTCTTTTAAAACCATATTCTTTATGTATTAAAGAATGTAGAGAAGAGAGACCCTCTGGGTCAAAAGTGAGAAAGCCCCTAAATAGAGTTATATGTTTATAAAACGTAACTTTTAATAGTAATTATAAAAAACATACACATAATTAAAAGACAAGAAAGGTCTGAAAAAATTAGGGAGACCAGAGAGATAGATTCAATGCAGGTAGAGGAATAAAGGCAAAATCCCTAATACTGAGGCCACATACGTGGATCTAAAAAATGGACAGAAAAGCCCTTCCTTGGCTGATCTCTCCCTTAATGTTGCTAACTGTGATATAGACAGCTGGTACAATGGTTGCTTAAATAGCACTGACTACATGTAGTGCTGGGGTATGGCAACAAAATGATACCTATGAACATTGTATCAATGCAGAGTGGATGTCAGTATATCCAAATGACAGAGTATACAAGATATCCCTTGAGGCAAAATCGCAGAGTGGAGGGCATAAGGCACCCCCTTCCCATATAGGGAGTCTGTACATATAGATACCAACCCACCCACTTGAGTAACCCAGATCTTAAGCTCAGATAATACCAAGAGACCACACGAAGTAAGCCAGAGAAAGAAAATAAACCCTAGCCAAAAATCCTCGAGATAGCTGTTAGCTCTCTGATATTATCAATAGTGAGAGATGTAAATTAAGGAAGAGATCGCTAATCTTACTGCCTATAATCAAAATCACTGGTCTCCCTGCCTACTGCCTAACATATGTTTCGGCGCTATAGAACGCGCCTTCTTCCGAGGCTTCTATAGCGCCGAAACATATGTTAGGCAGTAGGCAGGGAGACCAGTGATTTTGATTATAGGCAGTAAGATTAGCGATCTCTTCCTTAATTTACATCTCTCACTATTGATAATATCAGAGAGCTAACAGCTATCTCGAGGATTTTTGGCTAGGGTTTATTTTCTTTCTCTGGCTTACTTCGTGTGGTCTCTTGGTATTATCTGAGCTTAAGATCTGGGTTACTCAAGTGGGTGGGTTGGTATCTATATGTACAGACTCCCTATATGGGAAGGGGGTGCCTTATGCCCTCCACTCTGCGATTTTGCCTCAAGGGATATCTTGTATACTCTGTCATTTGGATATACTGACATCCACTCTGCATTGATACAATGTTCATAGGTATCATTTTGTTGCCATACCCCAGCACTACATGTAGTCAGTGCTATTTAAGCAACCATTGTACCAGCTGTCTATATCACAGTTAGCAACATTAAGGGAGAGATCAGCCAAGGAAGGGCTTTTCTGTCCATTTTTTAGATCCACGTATGTGGCCTCAGTATTAGGGATTTTGCCTTTATTCCTCTACCTGCATTGAATCTATCTCTCTGGTCTCCCTAATTTTTTCAGACCTTTCTTGTCTTTTAATTATGTGTATGTTTTTTATAATTACTATTAAAAGTTACGTTTTATAAACATATAACTCTATTTAGGGGCTTTCTCACTTTTGACCCAGAGGGTCTCTCTTCTCTGTTTTCTCTACACAAGTATATGTGAGGGTTATCCCCTTTTCTTGGTTAGCCCCAGACACACACCTTTGCAAGGCACCCCTTTTCTAAGGGGCCCCTTGCTTCTTTGTATTAAAGAATGTAATATTAAATATTAATGAAATACTTAGCATGAAATAAAAAAAAAATATTTGAAATATTTTTTTCTCAGTTTCACATTTCTACACACCAAGTGCAACTAAAAAAAAAAAAAAAAGTCAAAATAGATTTACTAATTAGTCCTAAATGCTAAAATGCCCAATATGTCAACAATTTGAATTCATTTTTTTTTTTTTAAATAAAATCAAAACTGCAAGGAGTGAATAATGGATGTAAAGCTAAAACCTTTGGCATGCTGAAAATACAACTTTCATACATTGTGATCTAGAAAGATTGGCCCCAACTGACAGGTGGGCCCCTGGTTATCAAAAGATAATCCTTGCTGGTACCTTTACTGTATGGTGGTCTATGCCGTCAAGGGGCATTAAAGCCCTGCATGGTCCATAAGTGGTTAAGATAATTGTTCACTTGTGCACATGTGACTTCCTATTATACCCTATCCAGTGGTCAAGCCAAATAGGCTTTTTTTCCCCCCCAGCCATTTTGAAGATAATCTACCAGATTAAAGAATTTACAAGATTACCATGTAAGTACATTTTTGTACATATCCTATACTTTAAAAAAAGGAAATTATAATAATTCATCTAGGTGTAAACTGCAACCTTTAACATCCTTTGATTTTTTTTCTTACTAGAGTGGACAGAAACATGCTCTAGAATAGATCCAGAAATGATATTTTAGTATGTCAAACAATGAAATACTTTGTGATTAAACGTGATTAAAAAGGTCACTATGCACCACACACACACACACACACACACACACACTTTACAGGTCAATGTGGTGGCTATGTTATAAAGATATTGTAGGTAATGTACCCTTTGTGTCACTATACTCTACTCTACCCTCTAGTCTAGAATATAAGCTCAGTGATCAGGGCCCTCAACCCCTCTGTTCCCGTGCATCCAACTTCTCTGGTTACAAATGCATGTCGGTTAGTCCATCAATTGTACAGTGTTATGGAATTTGCTGACGCTTTATAAATAAGATAATAATCGTATCCTAGGTTTTTTGTCAAAATGAAATTGACCCTATCGGTGGCAATTGCTTCCAATTTTGAAAACCGTTTACTAATGGCAGGCTACGTTTAGCTATATACAAGATGAAACAAAAGGGCAGATTTCAGATGCATGATTTCAGTGAGGTAAAAAATTATTACATACAATCAGTAATGCATTAGTTCTAAAAAAGTAGGTAATGTTACCATGTTGGCCTTAGAAACAAAAGTAAAATGTTAAGAGTAAAAGGAATGCTTTTATTTGCAATATAAATTTCAAAACAACTAAGGTTTCACCTCCAGTCATTGTATACAAAAAATATCACATCTCTATTAGCCAATGTCTGCCTAGTTGGAACACTAGAACCCTATCAGCATATTTACAAACCATTTGATTATTTATGTAAATACTTTAAAAAGATAATGTTAAACACTAAAAAGCTCACCTTTTGCCAGAAGACCTTGGCTCTGATCGTTCTCCACAGACATTTTTTAAGCGATGGAGTAGTAGAGGTGTCTCAGCCAATCCCAACCTTCCAATATATAAGCATGAATTGCTGAGCATACAGATGTGTAAATTCTCATTCAAGTGAATGAAGTATTCGAACAATGCTGGCTGTTGTCATGTTCATGTAAGATGATTATATTTAAAATTTATGTTTACGGTTGGAAAACCCCTCCCCGTCCGTTTTTTTGTCTTTTTTCCCCCCACTTTCCCTCCCTTCATTAATTGTTTAAAACATTTTGAAAAATGCTTAATAAAAAGTATTTGAAAAGAGTAAATTGTACACAACAAAAATTACCTAAGCTTAAAAAAAATAATAAAAAAAATAATCAAACCTGTATTTTTTTTTTTACATTTTTATTTAAGATCTAAGTTCCAAATATACAGTAACAATACAACTTGCAAAATAATACAACACTTAATATAAAAGGACATGTTTGAAGAAACATGAAAACAACAAAAAGAAAACAGTAAAGACTATAAGGAGGCAAGAAAAAAAATACCTCTTGCGTAGATTATACATGAGAACAAAGTAAGATTAAATGTTAAAGTCGTCCCAAATGGACAAATTATTCTTAGAGGTGAAGGAATTGTGTACACTTGTTGTAAGCTTGTCAATCAATCTATTATCGTTAAAGGAACAAGAAACATGTATTCCTGACATTACAGTGTTAAAAACACTATCTAGCCCCCCTGACTTTCCTAAATGTAATATAATCTTACCTATATTCCAGTCTGCTGGTGCTGGCTCTGCCTCTGATCCTCCTCCTTGGCTGATATCATCATCAGTAATGATCTCAACTAATCACAATACTTTCCCATTGGAAAGCACTGGATTGGCAATTCTGATGATCTCAGCCAAGGAGGCAGGCCAGGGTGGAGCCACATTCTGCACTAGCCAATCCACATCT